CTAGAGAAAAAATCCTCGCCCCCCGTCGGGGATCGAACCCCGGTCGCCCAGTCCGTAGCCAGTCACTATACCGACTGCTTAAATCACGCAATTCGCCCACTGAATGGAGCGTTCATTAAAGTATTTTGTAAAAATTTATTTTCTCAACCCCGTTGAAAATAATTTTGTCAACGAACGTCGTGGTAGAGTGATTAGCACTCCTACTTTGTATTCAGGAGTTACCGGGTTCAAATCTCGGCCCGGAGGCCGGCTATCATGACTGGAATTTCCGTGTTTTTTCCTCAGTATCTCTAGGCACATGCCGGGAGAGTGGCCAAAATTAGGCCACTACCGCTTCCTTTCACATCCTTTCCAATTCTTTATTCATTATCAACCTCTCATTTGACGCTATACAGTCTGAACTACTGAAAAAGCATCGTTAAATAAACTATAAATTACTAAAATGTTGTCAGTGGAACCACGGTTCCGGAGAATTTGACGTAAATACGTCTTTACGGAAAGGAAGTTTATATATTGGCTTCATTCTAAATATTTCCTTTATACCTGCTTTACAATTGAGATAAGTTTGATTAAGACATTGCTTATTCAACTTGAATTAGTTACGCTTAAAATGGGTCTGTGGTATTTTAATGTAATGTAAGGTAATGTATTTTAATGTAATGTAATGAAATGTTTTATAGGTAACAACAATGCCGAGTAAACAGATGACGTTTCCTAGGTAACAAAAATGCTTGAATGCTTAACTTTAATTAGTTACGCTTAAGATGGGTCTGTGCTAGATGAATGTAATGTAAAGTAATGTATTTTAATGTAATGTAATAAAATGTAATGTAATGTAACGTATCCTAGGTAACAACAATGCTGAGTAAACAGATGACGTTTCCTGGGTAACAACAATGCCGAGTAAACAGATGACGTTTCCTAGGTAACAACAATGCTGAGTAAACAGTAAACACGACGTTCCCTAGGTACACTTGTTACACTTTTTCGTTTCCCTTTCTCGTTACACTTTTTGCCGAATGACCCTTCCTTATAGACGTATTTACGTCAAAACTATAAATTATAATAAACTGCAACACCCTAGTATCTTTTATGTTAAAAAAATTGTCAGTGGAACCACGGTTCCGGAGAATCTGACGTAAATACGTCTATGTATTTAAATTATATTTAAGCAATAAATACAATGAAAGGAAGTTTATATATTAGCTTTATGCTAAATATTCCCTTTATACATGCTTTACAATTAAGTAAATAGTTTGATTAAGACATTGCTTATTTAACTTTAATTAGTTACGCTTAAGATGGGTCTGTGGTAGCTGAATGTAATGATATGTAATGTAATAATTCTTATATAATATAAGTACCTGTGATATTGTAAAACTTTTTACCAGCACAAAATTATCTACTCTAAGAAGCACTTCTTCTAAAAGCGATTCACAGCTCAGCTCTTTCCCCAATAACGAAAGCGGATTGTTGACGGCAATAATATAACAAAAAAAATGCCCAGCAAACAGATGACGTTTCCTAGATAACACAACAATGCATACAAGCTGACCATTGTTGTCAGTCCATATTTACAAATTGTTGATATTTTCTAGGTAACCACGTTACACATTTTCCTGTCACTTTTTCGTAACACTTTTTAGCGGAATGACCCTTCAATATAGACGTATTTACGTCAAAAGCGTAACGAAGATGTGTAAGATCCATACCAAAAATGTGTAAATATGGACCGACAATGGTCAGCTTGCGTGCATTGTTGTTCCCTAAGAAAATAATTGTTACGTCATCTGTTTATTCGGCAATGTTGTGCTTAATTACTGCCGTCAACAATCCACTTTCGTTATTGGGGAAAGAGCTGAGCTGTGAATCGCTTTTAGAAGAAGTGCTTCTTAGAGTATATAATTTTGTGCTGGTAAAAACGTTTTACAATATCACAGGTACTTATCTTATATAAGAATTATTAAGAAATCTATTGTTGTGTCATACTATGTACAAGATGGATGACATTGAAGCTAAAAGACTCCATAACGCAGAATATATGAGACAGTACAGAAAATGTTAAAACATAGAAGTATTAAATAATGAACTCCAGAGTGTAATGTCAATGGTGAAAAAGTTTTAATTGTAACCACACACCTATTGATGATTGTAAGAGATTTATTTTGAGTCATTTGAGAAATTATACAAATGTTTTCAGTTATGGCCACTGAAGATCCTAATACAATGCCGATAATATTGACAGGAGATTTTAATATTATTTTAAGAAGGAGGAAAATCAAAGCTTTGTCACATTTATGGAGGAAACGTTTGGCTTAATGTTGATGTCAAATCCTCAATGTAGTACTACTAGATCAAGATCTTGTATAGATATGGTGTTTGCACGAAATGTTGATACTCTAAAGTGTACAAATTTTATAACATATAACCCATCTTAAGTGTAACTAATTCAAGTTGATTAAGCAATGTTTTAATCAAACTTATCTCAATTGTAAAGCGTGTATAAAGAAAATATTTAGAATAAAGCCAATATATAAACTTCTTGTATAGACGTATTTACGCCAAATTCTCCGGAACCGTGGTTCCACTGTAACTTTTTTACCGAATGACCCTTCCGTATAGACGTATTTACGTCAATAAAACAAACATAATAACCATAAACTACGATTTCATAACCACAATTAGTAAGTAGTAACTCAAAACACAACCTACATTTTCGTTCTTAAGTTAGAAGCTAAGAAAGAACATGCAAATAAAGTACATTACCTATGCGCCACCACAATTCGGTCTTGTAGAAATCGAGACTCCCATTTTGTTGCGTTGTACTTATGCACAGCGTGTTGTTACTATTGTTGTCTCAAGATACAACAAACACGTACGTTTTCAAGCAACAGATTTGTATTGTTGCGTAAGCAGGTCAGTAAACAAATCCTCTGTATTTAAATTATACTAGAGCGGAGCGCTCCTTTCGGAGCGCCTCGAGTGGATTGGTCAAGTTTGTAAAACACAACCAACCTTGTGTAAGAAACTAAACTAACCCCTCCTAATGGAGGGTTAAAAAACTTTACCGACCACTCCTTCCATATCCCCATATGTTATTTTGACATGGTACAGAATATATCATTATGGTGTGGTGCGTAATGAAGCACAGGGACAACTTTACCTATCTTAACATTACAAAAAGTAAGACATGGGCAGATATGCCATTTCACAGTTAGGTAGATGCTTCTGATCAATATAAAGCACAGTTCAGGAATTTGTTAGGATCAATGGTAATGACATATTACAACATTATAAATGGCTCAGTTAAAACCAAAGGCATTCTGGAACTAAGTAGATGATGTCTACTTGGGTATTTTCCACTTCCCATTCTTGGATTGAGGGTGGCTGAAAACAGGTGTAGAGGAGAATATTTAGATGTACAAGAAGAAGACAATAGGAAGTTGTAGAAAACTATAATGACTAACTTTATAATTTGTTTGCTTCCTCTCATATTATTAGTTTAAATCAAGGAGGTTGTAGCGCCGTGTAGTCTGATAGAAGTTTACTAACGTTTCAGAGTTCCCTCCTGCCTCCATCATTATCACCATGATGATGGAGATAGCAAGGACCTCCGAAACCCAGAAGACAGCCGTCTTCGTACTTGCCGCCGTCAGACTCTGAAATCCTACAATTTTAAGGAATACTTTGCATTACGTGTTTAAGTTTATCAAAATTGCTAACGAAACTGGCCTTTTTAGATGAAAAATAAGTTGCTTAAATGGAATTTAAGAAACTTCAGCAAATATTCCTACAGTATTTGTATATGTGAATTAAAATCTATGGTTATGATCAAAGTTGACATCATGCACAGTTCCATTTTCGTTCACCGTTAGCGACACCGTATTTTCTCCCTACCACAGCATGTTATGTTATCCGTTGGTATCGTGATCGTAATGTTGGTATAACCTGTTATAGTGTGTTGTGTGGGGAAAAATATGCCGATAAAATATGTTGGAAGAACGACTTCTTTTAAAGGGAAAACCTTGTGGGAAATTGTTGGAAACTTGAAGAATTTTGGTGTAGGGCGAATAGTTGTTAGAAGTACTTTTGAACGTTATCCTGAACCAAGTTACTTGAAAATATGTAAAGTTCAAGCACTCGCAAACGAGGTATTATTTTTCAGTATGTAGAAGCAGTGTCTTGTTTTGGCGTGTAAATAGTATCTAGATTGTGTTCCCTGGTGTTTGTACATTTCCTTCTTTTCGCATTCCTAAGACTTGCATGAACATAACCTCAAAGTGTAACTAATCATATCTGCCCATTGCTGTTTGGAGAGTTTATTTAGTTTTCATAGATCCTTATTTAGGCTAAACCAAAGGATGATGTAGATAATGTCATAATGAAAGTACAGAACTTATTTCACATAAAGGTATTCATAAACTTAAGAATTTTCAATACAAGTACAGAACTTATTTCACATACAGATATACATAAAATTTAAGAATTTTCAACAGAGGTAAAATAATCTACAGAGTAGAAGGAATGAGTTAAGAGGTAATCATTTAATGTGATCTACAATACTTTTATATCATGATTTAAACATTTAATTGTAGGTGGAAGATTATTGAATAACTTTATACCAATATAGTATACTCCTTTTTGATATTTGGCATGTGAAGATCATATTTACATCTTGTGTTTAAATTGTTTATATCTATATTTCTTTTAAATTTGCCTAAGTTCTGTTCCACAAGTGATAGTACGCAGGGTAAGACTTCACTTGCACATGTAATTTTCCAAAATAATTTTCTACAAGAGGCAGTGCTTTTAGCACTTGTGATTATTCTAATTATTTTCTTTTGGATGTAAAATATTTTATTACTGTCTGTCGAATTTCCCCCAGAAGATTAACTCATAGGACAGTACAGAGTGAAAGTAAACAAAGTAAACTAATTTTAAAGTATTGTCTTGTGTGGTGTGATTATTGAGGTAAAGCATGCAGAGCTTAGATTGGGAATAATGTATTCAATATGTTTCTTACAATTTAAGTTGTTGTTAATTTGTAAGTCAAGACATTTGTTTGCTTTACTTTGCTAATTAATCCGTCACAGTGGCCGCACAGTCTGAGGCGTGGGCCTTTTGCCACTTGGTCACTGGCACCATGGGTTTGAATCCAACTCAAGCTATGGATGTCTGTCCGCATTTTTCTGTGTTGTGCCGTCCTGAGTACAGGTAGAGGCCTTGCGACGGGCCGATCCCTCGTCCAAGGAGTCCTACCGAATGTCCATAGATCAAGCCAACGAAAAGTTGGGACCCGCAGTGCTCAGGCACTTGAAGAACGGGTCATCAAAGTATCAAAGTAAAGTAAGCATGAATAATAGAGAGCAGTCATTAAAGTTCTGAACTTTTTGTGTCAGGTGCTCAGCCTTCTTTCCCATTGTTACCTCCAACCCCAAGTAACAATAATTGCCCACTCCTAGTTTAGGCGATCAGATTTGGTGTCACTTTTGGACAGTTATATTTTGGGGAGGAAGGTGGATCTGTTTCTTCCCTTGTGACCAATCGTCATGTTGGGTGATACGACGTTATAAGGTGGAGTTCTTGCTCTTCCCTGGTGACTAATCCCTGCACTGAGTAAAATTGTGTAATAAATGTTAACCACATGCTCATGAAGTATAATGAGTACCAAACACATTGCATTGTTTCACAGTGCCGGCCTTTATCTTAATTTTATTTTGGCTGTGTATTTAATATTTTTCAGGATCCTCGTAAAGTGCGAATTTTAGCCGAGAAAGTTTTTAGAGGTCGTAAGTATCCCAAAATTGTTGAAGTATGCAGTACATCATATAAGGCAGATTATCGACTCCTTCCAAAAGATGAGGAACAGGCATATTGCAAGACAGACTCCCAGGTTGTATTGGAGAAAGTGAGAATCCTGCCTCGGACAATACCGTTTCCACCTCTGTTGAGGGTAAGATAAAATGTTGTATGCTGGTTATGTCGATTAAGATATGTGTTTTGTTTTTGATGTGCGCTTTTACACTGCCAGTGGATGCGGATTTATAACAAGTACAGTATTTTCCCATATTTTGAAAATATTTGTTATTTGAAGGTTTCTGTCTTGCGCTCTGTAGTCTGGTCGATGTTTACCAACGTTTCAGAGGTCATATTTATCGTCCTGATGACGGAGGCAGTATGACTTCTGAAACGTTGGTTAGCATCGACCAGACTACACAGCGCAACAACCCAGAAGACAGAAATCTTCATACTCACTGCTGTGAAAACCTCAAATCTTACATATTTGTTATTTGTAAATATGAATTTTGTGGAAACTTAGATTGCAGAAGACATGATTTCCAGTAGCCCTGTATATTTTCATAAATTGTTTTGCTTATTTGTACTCCAGGAAATGATTCTTGCTGATCGCCGTGCTAAAGGAGGAGATGTGACAAAAGAACCAGAAATGGAAATGATTTTTGGCGAGACTCGTGACAGTCTGTCAAGAAAGGCAAGAGAGGATGAAGAGCCAAATGTAATGTTTGAACCAGGAATAGGAACACCACGAAGCCCAGAGTTGTATGCAAATATCCAGCGGAGTTAACTGTCTGTGTGAGTTCGGATAAGAAAGTTGGTATTTTCTGGTACTTGCTGTGGATTTTAGTGTTCAAAAAATTGAAAGTTGCACTTTTGGATCAGTCTTCTTTGTCAATAAATCGCTGGTTAACTTCTAGGATTACGTCTGGTAGAGGTTTATTTATTACATTTCTTTGTATTAAATATTAGTTGAAATAATTTATTCCAATAACAAAATCTACTTTTTTTACAATTTTAGAACTTTATGATAGGAAATTGTGTAACTTAGTTACCATTTATCAAGTTTTCTGTCAGTTAATTCAGCAATGATTTGTGAATCACATTTTGAATTATGATTTCCTGAACTATAGTCAGATATTTTTACCTGCATAAAGTGCATAACTATTTCAGTGAATAAGACTTCTAAATTATCAGTGTTCTCTGCTTTAAATTCAATGGAGTATAATAATAGTGTCTCTGTTATGATGTATCTGGCTGTATATAATTGTATATGGAAATTGATTCTGTAGTCCAGTGTTCCCCAACCTTTTTGTGCCTACGGGCACATTTGAGAGTTTATGAGATCGTGGCGGGCACCAACCAATTAACAAAGCCAAATTTTCTTTTCTCTGGACAAATAAGATATGGACACCAAATAATACGCAAAACAACACGACGTTTAATGATACAAGAAACCACGCAATCAAAAATACATACTTTTATAAGTACAATTATTATTACTCAAATGTGATGTTTGGCACTGCATTTCATTGGCCAGTTTTTCAAATTTGGGAGTGTGGGATGATGTTGCTGCTCGCAAACAATTGTTAAGATGGGCGTCAGTAAGTCGAGTCTGTGCTTTGATTTTATAATGTTCATGGTTGAACGGCCTTCATTATTCAGTATAACCTCTTTTGGTAACAACGCGGGCACCCAAAGAAAGCCTTGGCAGGCGCTGCGTTGGGGACCACTGGTTTAGAAGATAGTCTCCTGTCCAATGGGTACTGGAGTCCTTTTCCTTGGGGTAAAGTGCCGCCAGGGTGTGAAACAGACCACTCACCACTATCTAGTGCCATTGTTAAGAATAAGTAAGAGCTATGCCTCGTCTCCTCCCAAGCTCTTACGTGGCATACAGTAGGACAGCTTTCCTTTTCCTTTCTTTCTTTCTCTTTTCTAATTAAAATGCACCACAAAAAAATAATATTGCAGGTGTTCTCTAAGCACCAAAAGTTTGAAAACTCCTGTTATATGCATTATGCAACTGTCAGTGGAGTGAAAATAAATATATGTGGGACAGGTATCGTCTTTCCATCCTTCATGACTCTTCTCCATGGTGTTATTTTTAAAGTATGATAGAGTTTAAGTCAGGGGGTCTCAATCCACAGGCCACATGAGGTTCTCCAGTGTGTTGTGCAGTTCACATAATTCTTTTAACAGTCATGCTGTGTATTTTTTTTGTAGTGTTCTGTCTGACGACAGGTCCATATACAGTCAAACCTCGGTTCACGAACGCCCCGGATCACGAACAATTCAGTTTACGAACAAATTTTCCAAACACAAAGCGTCTCGGATTACGTACTGTGTCTCGAGTTACGAACACGCAAGCCGTCAACATCGTGGAGCGATAAGCTGGGAGTATCAGCATCGGCATTATTCGTACAAGAATGATCTAGCATGGGGCCAAAGAAAGACAATGATAGCAGCAAAGTGAAAAGAAAAAATACCAATATCATGTCAGATGTTAAGAAAGAAATCATAGCCAAACATGAAAATGGTGTTCGTGTCTCTGATCTTGCTACTTCTTTGATCCGTGAAATTTGTGAAAGTGGGGTGAGGTGTAAAGTTTTGTTGAACGATATCACCCCGATAAAGCAGTAGCAAGCCGCAGAATAAACATTTTCAATGATAATGCCATGTGTCACTTTAGGAACATTTTAAAACGTAGACAAAAACAAATCACACTGGACAACGTTTTAGTGAGACAGAGGCCCAGTGAGTCTGATGCAGAGTCGAGTGGTGCCAAGAGACAGAAAAAAGAAAAAGAATCCCCTTCCAAACAATAACATTTCACTTCTTCACCACCTTCCACTTACGCCGTCAACTCTCCTCCATACAGGTACGGTAAAACTAAATTAAGTTTTCGTCTATATTTGATCTGCTTAGTGTTGTGTTTATCTTTTTTGTGATAGATTTAACGGTTTCGATTGATTTTGTGTTAAGAACTTATGCACAAAGTACTGTTGTAAAATTTTAAATAAGCAATCATCTGGGGTCCAGGAATGGATTAATCCATTTTACATTAATTCCTATGGGGAAAATAGTTTCGGTTTACGAACGACCTTCAGGAACGAATTAAGTTTGTGAACCGAGGTTTGACTGTATTATGAACAAGATCCTTCCAACCTCTTCAGGTTGTCAGGGACCTGCTCATACATATATACGTTCTTGGCACGATGATCAGAAGTGGTTTGCCATTGCCTTCTTCTATGTGTGAGTGAGTGGAGTAATTGTTGGGCTGCCACGGAGAAACTGGGGAAGCCCCAGGAAGAAAACTCTGTGATGCCTAGACTACAGCCTTGCCCAACACAAGTTATAAATCTGAGCACCACCGGGAATTGAACCCGGGACCCCAGGATCACAAGGCTAGTGTTCTGACCACTAGACCACCATCGTGTATGCTGTATGTTGCAAAATATTTTCCCAATATTAGAAAAAATTACCTGGTCCTCCAGGTTGGGGGTTGACATGGTGGCCCAGCTCCTCGCCTGCCAGAAATACCATAATGCTAAAAAAGCCTAATCAAAATAAGCCTCGGAATTGGAAATGAGGGTGGATCGGAATATAATAGAGGAGATAGAGAAAAGACAACTGATTTGGTACGGACACGTGCAAAGGATGGAGGAGGAAAGGTTACCAAAAAAGACTATGAAATGGCAACCAAAAGAGAGAAGGAAGAGAGGAAGACCAGGATGGAACGACAGAATTGCAAGAATCATGATAGAGTGGAAACTACCTCCACAAGGATAGGAAAATAGAGAAGAATGGAAGAAAATATTAGGCGCCGGAAGACCGAAGTAACGGTCAAGAAATGGAAGAAAAATTATAATGTCATCCATATTTGTGCAGCTTAATAAAGAACATAAAATCAAGAATTAGGATTCATTTTACTGATAACATTAGCAGAGACGCATGTGAACCTGATAGTGAAACTTTGCTCAAGCAAAAGCAGCTTCATATATCTCAGTAATGACTGATTTTAGAGCCAGGATAGCTCAGTCAGTATAGTGACTAGCTACGGGCTGGACGACCGGGGTTCGATCCCCGACGGGGGCAGAGGATTTTTCCTCTAGCCTCTGCGTCCAGACCGGCTCTGGGGCCCACCCAGCCTCCTCTACAATGGGTACCAGGGTCCTTTCCCAGGGATAAAGCACGGCCGGGGCGTGATGCTGACCACTGACCATCTAGTGTCGAGCTATACCTCCACTCCCCCCAAGCGCCTGTATGGCACGTAGCGGGACAAACTTTACTTTACTTTAATGACTGATTTTGTTAAACAGAAATGTGTCTTTACTTATAACCTAGCAGCCTGTGAGATGATAAGTAAGTAAGAAACTGGGCCATGTTATGTATACGCTCATGGCACAATGCTTACGTAGCTGCTGAGACGTGGGCTGTTGTGCGTTTCAGCGCGCCTGAACAAGAAGACTGAGGGACTTACACCTCACTCGGTGCATAGTTACTGCAGTAATTTTTACGTGAATAACCAAAACTACAATGCACAAACCCGTGAATGAGGTAGGTCTACTCTGCTGAAATATTTACACTTTGTTGTTGAAAGAAAGTTTAATTCTAAAGGGCTCAGATTACACTTAAAATTGTTCATTTTTGGGTTATTTCTGTTGTCCTATTTTAAAATAGAAAACCACAACATTAAGTACCTGTCATGTGAAGACAGAGACAGAGCCAGTCTCTGAAATGTGGTTTTCTCTTTTAAATTAGGACGATGGAAATAGTTCAAAAGAAAGAAAGTTGCATATAAATTTGAACGCATGAGTAACTTTATAAAATAATAATGGTTTATAGAATTTATAAATATTTATACATTCATTATCTAATAAATATTACACAGAGTAAGAACTGGCAAGTGTTCAGCGGTAGCCTGACAATCTCATAGGACTGAAAACGCAGCTGGCGATAAACAGTGGCACCAGAATACAAGGAAAAGATGGAGTGTGTCTACGGTTTGTTGCTCGCCTCTGCCGCTCTTGAATAGAACAGAATTTATTTTACGTTCCATAGATCCTTCTACCCATATTTTAATCCAAAAATCTCCATCATCAAAATAAAAATGACCAGATACAACTCCACCAGCAGAGGTGGGAAGTGTTACAGAAAACTACAATTTATATGCCAAAATGAGTACTTTCTTATTTTGATTAACATAACAGTTATGGGAAAATAGTTTAAATGGTTACATGAAGGCAAGGGAGGCCCAGGGGGTGCTCGGCATCCTCTAAAATCGTTCAGTGGGTGTCTGAGCCCCAGGGCAGCCATGTAGTCATCCATGGATAATATTATAATAATTACTAAATCAGATTTAGGCTGCCTTGCACAATTGTTGAGCCATACATTTACAGCCATGAGAGCAAATGGTTCATAGCCAATGTGCTTACTGTATTTTAAATTTTGATAAAGCAAACTTAATAAAATGTGACTAATAACATGTCAATAACTAATATGCAGACAAGCTACAATGGTCACTCAAAACGTTTTGCCCCAATTTTTTTATCTCTGTCATAAGTTATCTGAAAGAGCAGAAATTTGGTGTAGGAATAGCTACATCTTTATTCTCAAGCACTATTTTTCTACATAGTTTCCATCTTTTCCTACAGCTTTCTGCCACCTGGTGGCAAGGGCCCGTATTCCTTGTTGGTAAAAGTTCTCAGGTTTGTTTGAGCCATATTTTCACCTCCTTGATAACCTCTTTACCATGCCAGAACGTTTGTCCACAAATGACATTCTTCATTGGACCAAACAGTTGGAAATCTGGTGGGGCATCAGTCCAACGCAGTATTGTGATGGTTTCTGTTGTTCTCAAACTTGTATGTGGTCCTGCTTTATCGTGCAAGAGAAGGGCATCTTGCATTTCTCGTCGTGATCGAACTCGCACCATGCGCATCACGAGTCTTTTCAGGGAAGTGACTTCACGCCTCGGAATTTATTGTTATTCTTTTCCCCGGAATGTTGACCAAAATAACACCTTTCATGTCCCAGAAGACAGTTGCCATTACTTTCCCTGTTGAGGAAACTGTCTTGAAGACAAATGGATTAACGTTTCGTTTGTAGCTTAAGTGGTGAATTCATGTCTCATTCCCAGTCAATTCGTGAATGGAAGTCACCCCCATCCGTCTCATATCCAGCCACATACTCAGCAGCAATGTGGCTCTTTCCGACCATATTTGGCCGAGATAAAAAATATGGGGCAGAACTTTTTGAGTGACCCTCGTATAATTAAGAAAGTTCCTTGGTGTACTAATTGATAATCGCCTATTTATATTTCACAAATGTGCTCATTTTTTACAAAAATTAGATTTTATCGTCGATTTCCTACTAGATCGAGGTATTGAATACACCCGTTTTCCGTAGTTCATTTTATTGTCGTTCCTATAAAACAATAATTTGGTAATATAAATGGTAAGGCAGTGCCCATCAGTAGTGCAAATATTATTCTAGAAGTGGTGCCACGTATAATCGTCTGAAGAAAGTTTTCATAGTGTTTATAGAGTACTTCTATAATGTTATAAAGAGTTTGTGTGACAGTTTTAAGTATGATTCATTATCTGCTTATAATGAACTTTCACGTCACCACACAATTCACGCTGATTTCATGTGAGTATCAACAAGTATTCTTTTCGTATTGTTTTCTTTTATCCAATGTCGCAAATAATTGCGGGACTTTTCTAAAAGCTGGCGTTTTTTTATAGTCTTCCATGTAATATTTGCTATCGCATTTTCTGTAACTTTGCGATATAATAATTTAGGTTAGGTTCACGTTAGTATGTTATTTGCTAACACCCATTTGTAGACTTTATTGTAGTAAGAATTCTTGAGACTTCAATAGCATAAATTTGATTATGGTAAACGCAGAATAACATTGAGTCATTCTGTAGGTTTCTTACTGTCTTCACAGTAGCCCATCTTTGGATTGTCTTGAGCCAGTTGAATCTAGTCCATGCCCTTACCCTGTTTATTTATGGTATGAATATGTCAATATCAATAGTAAAAAATTATCATTTATACAATAACAACAGTTTATTTTAAAAATGAATTACAAATCCATAGTCTTCAACAAAAGTTTGCAGTATTAAAAAGTAAAAATTCTTAGTAACTATGTAGGCTCACATAAGATGCCTTACTTCATGTCTCCAGATTTCTTGAACAGGGCATTGTCTTAGTAAATACATTTAGTATTTTGCATGTGACCAAAGGAGAGTTTAGCCAATTGATTTTAAAATCCCCTGACAGCATATCTGATGAATATTAAATATTTTATAAGAAAATCAGATAAAATAACTGGAGGATATAATTAACAATGGCATGTACAAGAAATCCAAAGTGTTATTGTAACTGTGTACCAAGTTACATTTACATAATGTTACGCACTGTTGCCACATGATCCTGTTATTTACAACATAATGATCCAGGTAGCTGAAGGATGAAGTTATTTTATATGTTTACAACTAAATGCTCAGTAAATTTTATAACGTGTAATATCAACAGTCAGTTTTATTTTATGATTTGACATAATAAATCTTTTAAATGAGATTATCTTCATCATGGTCTTACATAAATTTTGTTAATTCAACTATTAAGAAAATTATCACAAATTCATTTACATGGTAATCATATTGGAATGAGGATGGACTAAATGTACGAAACTTTATTTGTGGTCTACTTATTTGTTGTGCTATTAATAACAAACTTTAATGTTTTTGTTTTTAATTTTAAATTGCAATTTAGATAGAATTTAAAAAAATATATATACGTGGGTAACTGTTTTGTTTTAATGTACCATGAAGATAATTAACCTCATGTTAGGTGACATGATACAATTATCAACATTAATTAAATTCATTTTAAAAGAGTTTCAAGTATTAATTTCAGTATCAAACAAATTTTGTCCGCATGTACATTTTACTAAAAGTAAATGTTACCATGAATCAGACAAACTCATTTGTTTAAATAGATGAGAAATGTGAGATGATAATTATGATAATGAGTGCTAAGTATTGACAATATCTTGAATATAAAAACATTCATTCAAGTACATGTGATATGGATAAATAATGTAACTTATTCACTTGCAATAATGATACATGTTTGGTAATCAAATACATTATTTGACCTATATAAGTATGAATGTTGACTGATACATATGTTCAGTATTCAGATCAAATTTCAAAATATACTTCATTTACGATATTTATTTAAATTATTTTTAAAAATCATCCATATGAGTTAAAATGATCCTGCTAAAGAAGGAAAATAATAAGGTTGTTATACATCACAGGAGATTTGACAGTGGAGGTAAAGCTTCATGCATTTCTAACCTCTGAGCTACTTTTTTTATTGACTTATTTCCGTGTCCGGCAACATCCAATGGACATTCTAGTGCTAGTGAGAGTCTGTGCTAGGTGAAAGTGAGTGGTCAGCTTCTTA